TGGCTTTCCATGACAAAGAAAACAAAGTAGACAAGAAAAGGTCATACACAGAAGTCAGTCAGAATAACAACGACTCAGAACTCAAACAAATGAATGAGCAAACAGTCAGTTCAAATGTTTTCTTCTCTACTTTTGACTCATATACTGTAGACCAGTATGGACAGACGACCATGTAGACGCATATATTTTAAGTCTTTAGCTTTGCAAATCATAGTACTGAGCAGTTTGTTAACATACTGGTTAACATTAAACATGTTTTGTGGATGATTTTGCTAAATGAATGGCATAATGTAGGCCTAAGGCTCACTACACTTGGATTGATAATCTTAATGCCAGCTGCCAGTCATTAATCCTTGTTCAATGCTTTGGAAAATGATGACTGATGAATATAAAACAGTGTATCATCTACTTGGAAATAGGTTCACAATGTTGTACACCTGCTTCCAAAATATAAGACCAGGTTAAAGCAAGAGAAGCCCGTAATTTTAGAAGATTAAAATTTGGAATGAAAGCAGCATGGAAAAGCTCCAGGTTTGTTTTGAGGATACTGACTGGCAAATTATATTACTCACTTAAAGGTTATCAAGGTTTACCTTAATAATGTAGGCGATGTAGGGCGAACACTTTTCACACACGCATTTATAATCCTAATGCCACAGGCTTATGTCATACATTTATATTTATCACTTTTGTTATATTTATTACTTTTAAATACACCTTTCTAATTATAGATTGGGTTGTGTGTGTTCTGTATGTAATTTTGTTGTAAAAACTGTTATCCAACTGTTTGTATTGTCTTCTGTTTTGTCAGTGTCTATAATTAAATTAAAGATTAATATGATTAAAAATGATATATATAAATCATTTAAAAAAAAAAAAAAAGGTTTATGAGGGCTGGAGAGTTAAGATGTTTTGCTGTTCATTCTAGCATAAGTTTGTACTGAATAGTGTTTTGTAAAACGTAACAAAAAATGACAAATAGAATTTGTGTGCTGATGTAATTAAGGCTGAGTTTTCTTATTCTCAGAGTGTTGTAAGATCTGGCAAGTTTTTAATAACTTTATGACCATAAAAACCTTTGGCATGGAAGGGGGTGGGCCTGGCAGGGGAGCCACCATGGTGTATTGGCTCATGGGCACTGACTCAATAAGCTTTGTGCATGTGTCATGAGTAATTTCCTGCCAAGCCTCCTTAAATTCTTCCCAAAGCTGAGCTTCATTGGAACGCCACTTGAGGATTTCAAAACGCTGGGCAGCAAGGAACACCTTCGCTCCATGCAGTGTGTTTGGGATCATTATCGTGTTGGAAAATACACGTTTGATCTCCAAACAGATCCTCCATACTCTGCAACATTGTGTTCTGCAAGATGCCCAAGTTTTGTTCCATTTTCAAAGTGACAGCGACTTTGTGGATCCTTCCAACACCTGCCTCAGACATGCATCCCCATACCATTACGTTCCCCCTGCTGTGCTTGACAGTGCCAGGCATGCATTTGGTATCAAGTCAAGTGGCTTTATTGTCATTTCAACCAGTTATTCATTTCAGCTAGTTAGTACACAGTGAAACGAAACAACGTTCCTCTAGGACCAAGGTGCTACATAAAACAAAACAGAACTAGAGGAGATATTACATATATTTACATAAAGTGCACAGTGCAAACATGTGTAGATGGCACAAGACAGTACAAAAACTATCAAAACAAGGCAATGGGCACGGTAAGGTACAGTGCAGCACCGACTAGCACACAGTTCTAATAAAAAAGTGAATCATATGAAAGTAGTGCAAAAAATTGACAAAATCAAAACGCACCCCTTGTCACAAGCATGTTGAATTTTGACTCGTCGGACCACAGAACTCTCGACCACAATCTATCACACTCCAATCCTTATGTTCAATGTTTGTTCATCTTTCGGCTGCTCCCGTTAGGGGTCGCCACAGCGGATCATTGGTCCGCATATTTGATTTGGCACAGTTTTTACGCCAGATGCCCTTCCTGACCCCAATTTTATCCAGGCTTGGGACCGGCACTGAGAGCGCACTGTTGCACGCAACCCCAGTGGCTGGGATTGGTTCCCTGGCCGGGAATCGAACGCGGGCCGCAGCGGTGAGAATGCTGCGGCCTAACCACTAATCCACGAGGGACCTAAACCAATGACAATGTTCAATGATTAATACAAAAACGTGGAGTGGACATGGCAGGGGGGGCATCCATGGTGTATTAGCCCATGGGCCTCTAAGTTCACACCATCCTTAGCTCTCACAGCTGTTCTTCAAAGCACTTTGTACTGTAAGGGTTTATCCTCATTATCCTCAGAATGGATCAGAATAAAAACGGCTCGAACCTGTAAAAAAAAAAAAAGGGGGGGGGCGCAAAATGTTCAGATTTGATGTGTTAGTCATCAGACTCCTCACAAGTAAAATCAGTATAAACACCATATGAGAGGGACTGTAGAATTCTGAATAGAGTGCAGAGCCCCAAATACACATATTAAACTATAAAATATACAGAAATGTTTAAATTATATTATCAGTAAAATACTTTCATACACAAAATAAATAAAAAGAAGAAATAATAGAAACACAAGCTTAGAACTAGCTCAATATCCTACACACACACACACACACACACACACTCACCAGGTGATTGCTTTAAGACTACAAAACCTCATTAAAATGTGGCAATGAAATGTTTACCAAAGTGTCTAAATTATTAATCACTCTTGTGATTAATATCCACCCTATTCCACATACAAGTAGTGGCCAAAAGTTATGTCCAGAGGGAATATTTGCACAATATTTGCCCACAGAACAGGGCTCTAATTTTCTATACTCCGATCCTTATGATCTTTGCCAAAGGCAAGATGTTTTTTTGCGGTTGACAGAACTAATAAATGGTTTCTTTACTGCTACACAATCTCTCAATCCAGCCTCTTGTAGCTGTCGCCTTGCAGTGTGAGATGAAATTGGACGTTCCTCACCACTGTACGTCCCATCCAGGACTTTGGAAGCTGTTTTTAAGCAATCACACATTGAGGTGATTTTTGAGGTGTAGTGAATGCTTTGCCTAACCACTAACATCAGAATCCAGAAAGAAATGTCAAATGAAAGTAGCATGTAAATACAGTCAGATCCATCAGTATTTGGAAAGTGACAATTTTCATAATTTTGCCTCTGGACACCACCACAATGGATTTGGAAAGTGATTGAAGTGTAGACTTTCAGCTTTAATTCAAGGGGTTTAACAAAAATATTTCATTAACTATTTAGGAATTGCATTTTTACAGAGTCCCTCCTTTTTCACAGGCTCAAAAGTAATTGGAAAATTGACTGATAAGCAGTTTCATGGCCAGGTGTGGCCTGTTTCCTTGTTATTTCATGACAATTTAAGGAGATAAAAGGTCTCGAGTTTAAGATTAACTTGTACCAGAATGATGGGAAGAGAAGAGTATGGAGAAGGAAAGAAAGGGCTCATGATCCAAAGCATACCACATCATCTGTCAAGCATGGAGGAGGCAGTGTTATGGCATGGGCATGTATGGCTGCCAATGGAACTGGGACACTGGTGTTTACTGATGATGTGACTGCTGATAGAAGTATAAGGATGAATTCTGAAGTGACTGCAAGTATTAAAAATAATCCTCATATTTATAATTTTGTTAGTCTGTCCAATTCCTTTTGAGCCTGCGAAAATGGAGGGACTCTGTAAAAAATGGCTATAATTCCTATGCAATAGTTTAATTACTGCAATATTTTTGTTGAACCCCTTGAATTAAAGCTGAAAGTCTACATTTCAATCGCATCTTGATTGCTTCGTTTTAAATCCATTGTGGTGGTGTACAGAGGCAAAATTACGAGATATGCTTATCTGACCTATATGTGTATCTCCAGTTTACAGTGTGGATTCTCCCATCCAGCAGAGAGCAGCTTCACTCCTGAATCCTGCAGGTTATTGTTTCTGAGGTCCAGTTCTCTCAGACTGGATGAGTTTGAGCTGAGAACTGAGGACAGAGCTCTACAGCTTTCCCCTGTCAGATTACACCCACACAGCCTAGGAGAGAAATGATGATATATCAAACAATATAATTTATCCTTTTGCTTAGTACTTACTAATATTGCCTTTTGGATGTCTGTGTTTCTGTCGTGTTTGTTTGAGCCCTAGAGTTTTAGGGTTTGTGTATGTGTGTGTTGTAGAGCTGAATGTACAGTGTGAAAGCACTGATCTGACCTCAGTATCTCCAGTTTACAGTGTGGATTCTCCAGTCCAGCAGAGAGCAGCTTCACTCCTGAATCCTGCAGGTTATTCTCACTCAGGTCCAGTTCTCTCAGACTGGAGGAGTTTGAGCTGAGAACTGAGGACAGAGCTCTACAGCTTTTCTGTGTGATATTGCACAGATATAGCCTAGGAGAGAAATGATGAAATATCAGAACACAGATATCTCAAACACAAGACAAGTAATATAATTTATCCTTTCGCTTAGTACTCGCTAATATTTTCTTTTGGATTTCTGTGTTTGTCATGTTTGTATGAGCCCTGTTGTTTTAGGTTTAGTGTGTGTGTGTTGTAGATCTCTGAATGTACAGTGTGAAAGTGATGATCTGACCTCAGTATCTCTAGTGTACAGTGTGGATTCTCCAGTCCAGCAGAGAGCAGCTTCATTCCTGAGTCCAGCAGGTTATTCTCACTCAGGTCCAGTTCTCTCAGACTGGAGGAGTTTGAGCTGAGAACTGAGGATAGAGCTCTACAGCTTTCATTTTTGAGATAACACCAACGCAGCCTGGGAGAGAAATGATGATTATATCAGAACACTGACATGCAAAACACAAGAGGACAAACTCACTGTAGAATTCTTGTGTAGTGATAATAATAATAATAATAATAATAATAATAATAATAATAATAATAATAATAATACTTTATTTATATAGCACCTTTCATATATCTAAAATGCCGTTCAAGGTGCTTTACAGTGTAAAGTAAAAAATAGAAATAAAAATCAAATAGGCAAATAACAACAATAATGAAATAAATAGTAGCAGTGACAGAAAGAAAGAAAATAAAAACAATGTAAAATATAAAACATATAATTAAAAAAACATTTGTAAAAATAGAATAAAGGTACAATAATGAATATATCATCTAAAAGTAATGTAAAAAAAAAAAAAAAAAGGTCAAAAAATAAAATAATAAAATTGACAAATAATAATAATAATAATAATAATAATAAAATAAATATTAAACAGTCACAGAAGGATGTACCATGACATTAAGGTTTAAGTTTCACCTATGGAATATGGAGAAGGCTAGCACTAGATGATGTTAAGTCATGGTTTTGAATAGTTTATTAGCCATTCAGTGGTGTATGAAAGTGCTGTCTCATGAAGAGTTTGAGAAAGAAAAGTAGTAATAATGTTTTATAGTCAGCTCTAAGGAAAAAGGAAACCAGTAAAGTGATGCTAAAGCTAGTCTAATATGATTTTGTTGCCTAGTACATGCTAATATTCTTGCTGCATTTTGCACAAGGAAGTCCTGTGAGCAGCGCATGACTTGGAGGTGGGGGGCGTGGTAAAGTGCTGGTTTGTGAATTGAGGGTGGAGTCAGGAGAAGCAGCAAGATCTGAGCTGAATGGTGTGTGTGTGTGTGTGTGTGTGTGTGTGTGTGTGTGTGTGTGTGTGTGTGTGTGTGTGTGTAGCACAATAGCACTGAAAAGCACTCGGAAGCAAACAAAAAGCGTACACAGCCCTGTTGAGTTGTGGTTTAATGCACCACCTTTTGTACTGACAGGGATGTTTAAGGAATTTGCTATCACTAGCATGGTACATTCGAGTGTTGTTTAACAATGCTGTCCCTGAGAACTTTAACAAGCTCCTTCACCTTCACCATGACTGTTACCTGTTGTATGAAATCTTCCCAACCACCGGAAACATCTTTTATAATGACACCAGGTGTAATTTACACGAGAACACTTCTGCAGCATTTATATCTAGATTTATTGATTTACTTGATTTATTTTTTTTTTTAACCTTTACATAGTATGCCAGACTTGTTGCTTTTCCTTTGACTATTATCAGGTTTATACTATAATAGTACCAATAAAATAAATAGAATGTGAAATTGTTGATCTGACCTCAGTATCTCCAGTGTACAGTGTGGATTCTCCAGTCCAGCAGCGAGCAGCTTCGCTCCTGAATCCTGCAGGTTATAATTCTTACTCAGGTCCAGTTCTCTCAGACTGGAGGAGTTTGAGCTGAGAACTGAGGACAGAGCTCTATAACTTTCCTCTGTGAGATTACACTTACGCAGCCTGGGAGAGAAACGATGATATATTAGAACATTGACATCCAGAAAACACACACACACACACACACACACACACACACACACACACACACACACACACACACACACACACACACACACAATGGCACCTCTCACCGCTACTTCAGATTTAAAGTTCATGGAGTCATTATTGGCATGTCAGTATTTGACTCTGTCTCAGTCTTCTTGACTACACCGGATCCCTAAGATGCTATAGAGTATAGTTTCTTTATGCTGTGTGGACTATCTTTTGGTACCTAGAGGACCAGAGTCTGATGAAGGAGAGCCTTGTGCTGACAGTCTGCCTGGCTGTGAGGAGAGGATGACTGTACGCAGTGAGAAATTGGAAAAAAAACAAAAAAAAAAACACCACCACCAGCAGCCACCTGTGTCCGACCTGAAGCCTACACCGAGACCTCTTCAGCCTAGCCCGAGGACATCATCACTCTGCCTTCTGACCCTTGACAAGGATGTGGCCACTCCACCTGCTGACTCCAGCAAGACCATCAAGGACATCATCGTTACACTTACTGCTGACTTCGTGGATGATGTCATCCTTCTGCCTCCAGCTCACTTCTTGGATGACATCATTGTTTAACCTTATGCTGACTTTGCAGATTATGTCATCATTGCTTCCCTGCTGACGGAACGGCTAACAGAAACCCCAATACACAGTGGGGTCCATAAGTCTGACACCATAATGAAAATCTTTAAATGATTTTCTTAAGTCTTAAGTCTTCCACTGAAGTGTGGACATTTTCAGATGACACTCCAATGGATTTGATCTAACGGATCATCAGATTTTACACAAACTACACAAGTCCAA